GGACTTCTAGCCTCAATATGGAAGCCAGTGGGTGGGGCAACTGCCAAGGGGTGAAGCTACCCATGTGGCCCTCAAAAGCTCACCAAAACTCATTAAGCTACCCTTCAGCTGAAATAATTGCCCACCCCTGGCTAAGTATGCTCTGGAGCATATTAACAGAGACACATAGACGTAGAGTCCTGTGTTATAAAGGAAATTACACTAGGAGCATGGACAAGCAAATATTTTACTGTGAGGAATGAGTAGCTTAGCCCTCCAAACAGGGTTAAATTACTGCAGTTTAGTAGCCTTTTACCATGGAGTAAAAGTGTGTCTACAGGCAGTTACCATAAAACAGCTGACATGTTTTGAAGTCCTATCACTATTTGTCCCAGGGTAAAAGTTTTAATGAGCCACATGTTGTTTATTAGCAGGGCTCAGTAGGCACTATTTTTCAGTTCACATTGGAAGCTACAGGTATTTTCAAAAGTCAAAATGTATATATAAAGGCACAGACAGAAGTGCAGCTCCCCGCTGTAACTGATAACACTTTGCAGGAAGCAAATGATCTGAGTTACAATGATCCCCTGAAAAAAACACAAGTTCACTATTTGTTCCAGGAGGGAGGGGAGTCCAGTTGCTGACTGGGAGCCTGCAGTGAGTGCCCCTAGCAACAGCTCCTCCTCCCTGCCCACCCACGCTGTTTTCAGAATAGGAGGGGGGAAAGGGAGCAGAGGAAGCTCGTTTTATGGGTGCCCCAGCCAGCGTTGGAGGATGGGGTGGATGAGTTGGAGCCCCCCACCTCAGTGGGGCTGCAATGCACCCACCACCCTCCAGCAGGGACTGAAAAAACCCCAGACTGAACTCCCTCCACTCCTTTCCCCTCTTCCTGTTCCAAAAACAGCTCCCCTGGCAAGTAGGCAGACAAAAGTTACAGAAGATGCTATGTTTTGAAATCTTCATCTGATTTTCACCCAATCAGCCATTTCTTAAGCTGTCTACAGCCATGTACTTGTGTTTGGTCATGTCTATAGACCTCATTCTATGGCCGGATCAGGTGAAAGTTGTCACTTCTGTCTGTGCCCTAAATGTCTGTTGTTGTTCTTGTTTATTGTTGATGATGATGTTAATCGGGGCTATAAAATGGAAATTTCAAACTTTTCCTTTAAAAATATTTAAATAAATTGGATAAGTCAAGCAGAAGCAAAGAGTTATGGGGATCTAAAGCCAGGTCCAGACATTACACTTTTACTGTTAGAAGTGCTAAGGTCTAAGGTCTAAATCTGTAACAGAACAGAAGTTCGGCATACACAGACTGGTTTAAAAATGATGGAACCTAATATAGATCTGGATCAACGTGCACTCAAACTTAATCCACACTTTAGAAAGGATGTGGAGAAGCTTGAGAGTCCAGAGGAGAGCCACGCGCATGATCAGGGGTCAAGAGAAGAGGCATTATGCGGAGAGGCTAAGAGCCATGGGATTCTTCAGCCTGGAGAAATGAAGGCTCAAGGGTGACTTGGTAGTAGCCTATAAGTACATAAGGGTTGTACATCGGAACTGGGAGAATGTCTGTTCACCAGGACACCCCAAGGGAAGACAAGGTCTGAGAGTCACAAACTGCTGGAAGACCATTTTAGACTGGACATAAGGAAAAGCTTCTTTACTGTCCAGGTCTGGAATAGACTCCCCCAAGAAGTGGTGCAAGCACCTACTCTGGATACTTTTGAGAAATGCTTGGATGCGTACCTTGCTGGGGTCATCTGACCCCAGCTGATTTTCTGCCCTTTGAGCAGGGGGCTGGACCGGATGATCTTGTAAGGTCCCTTCCAACCCCAATGTCTCTGAAATCTATTAAATCTATTAATCAGTTTAGGTTAGAACAGTACATTGAACTTCTGTAACTGATTCCCTATCAATTTAAATTAGGTAACTGTCTACCTGGTGTCTTTGTGCCCTCTCCCCCCGCCCCCCTCCCCCAAAGGGAGCCATGCTAGCATTTGCACTATGTTTGACTGCATAAAGCCAAGTGCCCAGCTGGCCCCATCCCTGGGTTCTCACAGATCAAGATGCTTGTGACTGATGATAGGGGAGGGGAGGGGAGGGGTGCTCAGCCATGCTTTGAAGTCTGACCATGTTCCCTGGGGCTGTGCACACCCCAGGGAGCACAACTGGGCTTCAGGGGATGACCAAGCACAGTTGCCTCTGCTATCTGCCCACAGTTGACAGATGCCTATGTCTGATGATAATAAGGAGGAAGGAGGAGCCAGGGGGTGGGGGGGAAGCTCAGCCATGTTCAGCAGCCAATCAAATGTGGCCTAGCCACTTGGCTATGCTCATCTGCACTCAGCAGTCTCCAGTAGCCCAGGGAGCCTGCTGTGAGTCATTCAAGAATGCCTCCAACTTGCTGGCCTCAGCCAGTGTAGACAGCCTGTGTGTACCTCCCCCCCACATGCCATACCAAGGGGTGCATGTGTGTTCTGTTCATTTCTGAACTAACCTATGCCACTTAAAGAAACCTACATAAGTTTGATTGATTCCACCTTGGGTTTCTTGAATGTCTATACTTAATCTGAGAGTAGAAGTAGAGACTTTAGGAAATAAAATATGTCCCAGTTATACAGTTTACAACTTGGGATAAATAGAACTGCAGAAACATAGGCTGAATCAGAAGGTTTCACAGCCTTCTTTGTTTCCTTTCACCTTTATTTACGTACTATCAAAACATAATCTGCTGCCACCCACATATGTTTTTTCACGTCTTGCTGAATCTGACAGCACTAGGGACTAGAAAGAAGAATACTATCCAAAGGACTCTAATGGTGCATATAAACATCACGTTTAGATCACCTTAACCAAGCTTAGGTAATCCAAATGGCTGTGTGCAAGCATTCATAGGGCTTAGGTCACCCAAAAAATGGTTCACCCAATCCACAGTTAATTTTTATCAGACAAGAACTACATTTAGACCAGCATGGGTTAACCCAAACTAGCATGGGTAAATCTGACCTAACAAACACTTGCACACATCTCCAGCTCAGCCACAGGGCTGGGAAGGCCCAGCCACTCTCCACAGCCCTAGTGCTGTGCTGTTTTTATCCCTCAACCCTGATCAGGATAGTTTTACCACCCTGCAGTGGGCCTGTCAACCCTCCCCAGATCTGCCAGTCTCCCTTGGAGCTACCAGCCCCTCCCCATACCCACCAACCCTGGACCCTTCTGACAGACCCACCAACCCTCACCCCCTTGGACCCACCAGCCTCACATCCCCCCAATTTGCTTGCCTCCAGCTGCCCACACGTCCTCCTGGCAGGCAGCAAATGCTTGCATACAGCAAACTAAGTTGCCTAAACTTGGGCCAGGTCCCATGAACATTTATTGACACCCTAAAATGATAATATAAAAGGAAGCAGAATGGATCTTTATGAATGGATCACATCTGGGTTCCTATCCAGGACATGTGCAGTGTGACATAGAAGGATGTACTACAAATTTTGTAATTTGATTTTACACTGCCAACCCTGTGGATTAAACATTTTTAAGGTACTAAAGAAATTAACAAGAATTATTAATCATAGTAAGAATAAGAATAATAAAGACTGGGGCCTCTCTCCTATGCCAATTTTATCTTAGGGGTTATTAACTACAAAAGATAATGGAAATTGGCTAGCAGACTTCAGAATACTTGTATAATCATTAGAAGCTGGAAAAACCTCTACCTGCTTGTCTGCAGTGGCTTGGATAAGAACTGTTGGATTCATTCCAGAAATGAATATTGCAGCTGTGATGAGCCTTGTGTTTGGTCTCTTCTTTTTAGGGGGAATTTTTCCTCACTTTCCAGAGCCAGCAAAGTGCACCATTTAAATCCCATGCAAATCTTCACAATAAGGTTAAAATGGGATTAAGTGGTCATGAGCCTTTTAGTTCTTTGCACAGAGATGGATTTCATCACTAAGGTCTGCAATTTTCGCTAAGGAGGACAATGAAATATACATACAAAAGGAACCAGTGACCTTCTCACTCATGTCCTTTTATCACTTGCATAGTATCCTAGTTTACAAACATGTCCAATATACATACCCAAGAAAGAAATAATGGTACTTTGCCATTTACCTGACACACTATCCTTTTTTTCTCCATGTGTTCATCTTTTTTGCTCATCTCTAATTTTATACTTACTTTCTTTAGGGAGATACAACCAACGTATCTCCCCCCCTCCCCCAAATGAATTCTGGACCATCATTATAGCACCCAAAATTTGAGCATCTTAATGTTGAAGCAGAGACATTATAAAGTATTAAGTATTCAGATAAGGAGGATTTCCTTTTCTCACTGTATCCAGTACAGATGCAAGGTACTCTTAGTAGGAATAAGAATAAGTTTCATGAGTATTGGTGCCAAGCCTAGCTCCCACATGAGAATGCTCCTCCTTGACCCCTGTCTCTGAGGACCTGCAAAGCTCTCTCTCAACTAGTTTTCACAGCATCCAGAATTCAGATGGAGAAATTGTGTGCATAGCAACCAGAACTTGATCTCTTAAGTGGAGCTCTGTATGTATATTAATGCCAAGTGAGATCTGGCAATAGAATATTTGTTTAAAATTTCTCTTTAATCAATCTTTCAGTTTTACTTTTGAAGTATAAAAAGGTATATTCTCTGACTTATGCTTCAGATGACATGGAAAAAGATCTATCAACAATACTGGAATATCATTTAGAGATATTCTGTGGAGCTATCCCTCCAACAGTCATCCCTGTGGGGTTATCCCAAATAACACCAACTGAGAATCTGCCCCATAGTTTTAAGAAGTCATTTAAGACATTCCTTTTATAATAATGCACCCATATTTTGACTTTGATCACCTTATTGTGTATGCAAGAATTTACCCAAACTGCAGGCAAAACTGAAAAAAAACAAAGTAAACTAGATTTATTATTGTTGTTGTTCTTGTTGTTAGATTAATTGGTGCTAAATCAGTGTTTAGTTCTTATTGTTTTGACTTGCCTGGTTTAAATTTTAAGGCACATCACTGACTGTTCATGACTGAGTTATAATGACTGAAGAGGAGTTTAATGCTCATATCTTTGGAAAACCATTTAAAGAAATAACAGTAAGGAGGGGTAAGCTGTTAAAAAAGCACTTAGAATTATTTAAGTTCTTTTTCTTGTGCCACAGATGTTCTGTCAACTGGAGCAGAGATGTTCAGAAACCACATAATGACTGTTAAACCCTGAAACTGAGATTAATTAAATGTCTGCCGCTCCTCACACAATGTAGACTCCAGAGCTTTTCAGTCCTTCCCAGCTTCTGAAGATACAGCTGTGCAATATATTAGGAATATACCTTGTTGTCTTAAAATATATTTTTATAACAAGTGTAATTTTTTAAAAAGAAAGGTTAATATTACCCTTTCTCTGAGTGTCTTGCTGCTGTTTAGAGAAAAAAGGTAAGGGTTCACCAGCATATGATACTTCCTGCAGGCTGCCGCCTCCACCCAACATGTGTTTTTTAAAAAGATTCATATATGAATCACAATTATTTATTTATGTTATAGTTTATGTGAGTTCAACAGTTCCATCAGAGATAGGAAAGTGAGAGACCCCAGTCTGTCTCTAATGTGTTCTAGGTTAATGTAAAGGAAATACAATTAATCATTTGCATCCTCTTTTATTAGACACTCTTTTACCTACTTTAGATTGGACAATGCAACTACTTCTTCTGTCCGGAATATTATGCTACCTACAGAGATGAACTTTAATTAAATAAGATCATACTATGGAAGTAAGTGATTAGTATATGATGGGAAGAATTATAGAAATAAGGCTTATAGAAAGTTTTGCTAACAACTTATTTTTCTACCCCCAAAGTATATAACTTGAGCAATTTGTTTTTATGCTAAGCCTCAGATCAGCCTTCAATTTTAATTTTATTTTGTGTCCACAAATTCACACCAACCCTGTGTGGCAGTAATATAGCAATAATATTATTTAAATTGTGTCCAACACAGCATTAGAACCATATCCGTCAGGCTTAACTGTTTTGGCGTATCCATTATGGCTAAATGAAACTGATGTCAAATCTATTTTTCTGTGTAGGGGAACTGATAAACACATGATAACTTACTTTCACATGCCACTTACAAAAACATACAGCCTAAGCGAAAGGTGTTTCCTTTTTTCCCACATGGCTGTAACTGAAGAAGATGTCATTGACCATAAAGAAATAAGTAAAATATTTTCTCTTAAAGGAATAGTAGCCTATACCTGGAAGACTTAACTTTCCTTTCTATGACATTTGTTTAAGTTTTTGGTTTTGTAACTGCATTTCAATCTTTATTTGCTGAGATTGCCTGGATAGGATACAGCCTAGTTCTACTTCTTATGATGGCTTGTTTATCCAAAAGGATCTGGACTTAAAACCACAAGCCATTTTGGTATAAGATGGTAACGACTAGTTATTAGAACATAAGTAATACTCTAATGGCTGAGACCAGGGGCCAAAAAATGTGCATGTTGTGTAAATGTATGTGTTGTGTAAAATGTGTAGATATGGTCTATGCAAAAGAAGGCTATGCCCTAGAGGAATTACAATGGTCTAGAACATGGTACTCAACCTTTTTCTCTTGGGGGCCAGATGGGCAGTATCCGGTTGGTCCACAGGCCAGATCCAGCCGGTGGTCGCAATCCAACACCTAGGCAGGCACAGAGGATGCTATCCAGCCGTGTAGAGGAGGTCGGAGGGCAATCCACCCCTGCAAGAGAAGGGGGCCTGACCAGGCCCTGTGCGGAAAGGGTTAATGGTCTGGCCCCGACCCAGCTCTGCAAGGGAGAAAAGGGGTATGGCACATCCCAGTGGGGTTGTAGGGGTGGGGAGCATGGTCCAACTCTGATACAGCTGCAGGGAGAGGGGGCATGGCCCTGCCCAGTCCTTACTGGCTGCATGGGGCTTAGGTGTTGGGAATTTGGCAGGGGGGTGGGTGGCTGTATTAATGGCCACCACTTCTCCGTCACCATATTTTCTGACCTGTGGGGAGCCATGTGGGTCAGATGTGATGGTTCCATGGGCAGAGGTAGAGCATGCAGGATCTAGAATCCTAAACATCAGAAATTCTACAACTTGGCCTTGGAAGACCTATGTGGCTTTCAAGGAGCATCTAAAAGAAGGCCAATTTTCCATTAAAATCTTATTTCCATTAAGTGCTTATGTTTGGCCTCTTTTCCTTATACTTGCTTTCATCTGATGAACTATAAGTGGTTTGCTCTTCCTTTTCTTTCCTCCTATTTCCTACTGGTTAAAGCTGACTATGTGGGGCTATGAGGCATTCCAACAAAAATGTTTTTGCCTGTAAATATTTATGTTTGTGGATAACCTACTTATCTGTCTCAGTCAATCACTGGCAATTCAAACAGGGTTTACTTGAAAAGTTGAGGATGAAGTTATAAGGAGCTTTCTTTCCATTTTGAGAATGACCATTGCTGCTCAGATTGGTATATTAATAAAGTTTGGCAACTTTATAATAAAACCATTTTAGTTGGCTGCCTAGGATAAGTTACTTATGCATGTTGCCTCTTCTGTAAAAAGAGGTTCATGTTTTTATTTATCTATCTTCCTCCTTTGTAGGACTGTGTGTGAATATTAGTTAATGTCTGAAATACTTTGAAGATGGAAATCACTAAGTAGTAATAATACCTAATTTTTCAGCTTCCTCATGTTTCTTTGCATAATAGATTCATGTGTTGCTGGTATAACGATGAGTACTCCATTCTTTAGAGGTGCATAAATTACAGAATAGATAAGAATAGTTGGAATAGGTTGAGAGTAAGTTGTTATGTTACCACACTGAGATTTTATTCTGGAAATATGCCAGAGTGGGAAGATGACTTGCCAGTGACCCCAAAACTTCACATATCATGTTTAACTTTTCCATCTCACTTGAAATGTTTTGCAATTTGGATCCTACAAAGGAACACTGGACTTTCCATTTAGGATTTCACTGCCCTATCTGATAGTGACCTGCACCACCCAATTTAGAGGATGGTGAAAAAACTTCTGTGATGGTTATGATCAAATTAAGTCTCTTCCTAATCCTTGTAAATTAGTGCTGACTAACTATATTTTCATGGGAAAAAAATGAGATGTTTGTTTTGAGATGTTTTTATTTTCAGGCTTAACATTTATACTTTTAAAAAGATAAGCCTTTTAAAAATGAAATCTGAATTTAATACAAACATGATAAAGTCTAAATAACTTATTATTCTGAAACACACTTAAATAAAAAATTAAATATGTTGAATTCACTAGTCTCTCTCACAAAAAAAAAAAAGAGTTACAACACATACCCCCTAGCAAAAGAAAGAATGGGGAAAAAACAACCAACTTTTGAGGCAAGCTTTACAAGTATGACAAAGTGAGCACATCTACACATGCAAATGCTGTGGGATAGGTTTACTCCAAAGTAAATTACTCTAAAGTAAACCCACCCCAGACAGACATCTACACGTGCAGGGAAACAAAAGCAGATTTGCTGCTCCAGGCAACAGTCTGCTTCCTGGACAGTCCTGGGCTGCATGGGGAAGTCTGCATGTGCAGCCCAGAGCTGGCTGGAGACTGCTCAGAATGGGACAGTCCCCAGCCACCTCTAGGCTGCAGGTGCAGACTTCCCCACTCAGCCCAGGGCTGGCCAGGAACTATCCCAATCAGGGGCAGGTCCCAGCCAGTTCCAGGCTGGGCAGGGAACTTTCCCCATGCAGGGATCTCCCAGTGCCTGCTCCATGATTGCAATTGCAGGGGTGGGGCTGGGAACAGGCTGGGAGCTTGTTCCCAGCCGCAGATCTGCAATCACAGAGTGGGTACTAGGAGATTGTTCCCAGCCCCTGCTCTGCAATCACAAAGCTGGGACTTGGAACAACATGGAGTAGTGGCTGGGAACAATCTCCCAGCTTGTTCCCAGCCCCCGCTCCATGATCAGGGAGCAGGGGTGGGAACTCTCTGCTGGCATGGCAGGGGGACACTGTCCCCACCTGGGCTCCAGTGGTGAAGCCTGCCCCAGCAGCAGGAAACTCTCGGTGTCAGGGAGCATAGGCAGCAGAAGGCCGGGGCTAACAGGGCTTTGACCCCCCCCCCCAATGCAGGGCAGCAGTGGCAGTGCAGAGGACCACAGGGCAGCCTGGGCACAGGCTCCAGGTGGCTGCAGCAGGGAGGGGAGGGGAGGGGCACACAGACACACAGCCGCAGCCTGCATGCAGCCAGGAATGCAGCTCGGAGGCATATGGAGCAGCACCCAGCGCATAAATCTGTATAGGGAAAGGGGTGTGGGGGCAAAAATGCGTGAGCAGATCGAGACCCCCATGGTGAGGAAGGGAGTGGGGCAGAGGCAGGGACAGAAGCTGGGGTGAATGGGGCCCTGGGGTAGATCAGAGCCCCAAGCAGTTTGTACAGGTGCATGGGGCTGAGGCTCCCGCTGCTGCACACACCCTGGAGGAGGCATAGGGGAACATGATTCCTGGAACTGTGCATGGGGTGGAGTGGAGGCAGGCTACTGATGTGGGCTGGGCTCTGCACCCTGCTGCCATTGCCCTGGGAGCTGCACACTGGCTGTATCTCATCCCCTGTCCACCCAGCAGCCAGAGAAGCATGTCGTCATGTGGTTCCTAGGGTAACAGCAGTGGGACACAGAGCCCAGCCTGGATTGGTAGCCCACTTACACTCTGCCCCATGCACAAATCTGGGGTGCACATGCCCCCCATGCTACCCCGGTGTGCACGCAGAAGCAGAAGCCCCTCTGACCCTCTGTGCCCCTAGGCAAGCTGCCCGACCTTCCCACAACCCACCCCAGGGCCCCATTCACCCCAACCCCTGCCCTACCTCTGCCCTGCTCCCTCCCTCACCATGAGGGCCTTAATCTGCCTCCCCATGCCCTTTCCCTCTGCTGTGTCTCTCCCCTCCACACACACACTTGTCTGCTGGGTGGTATCTGTGTAGCAGCACAGTAGAAGCATCTTTTAATTTTAAGTTTTACTCAGCCCCCCCCCATAATATTTTCTTCCTCTGCCTATGGCAGGAAGCAATCTCCAGCTCCCTACTGCCCCACTGATCAGGAGCAAATTTGCTCCTGGTTGGCCATCTACATATGCTGTACCACACAGGAACTAATCATGAGTAAATTTGCTACCTCATGATAGAGCAAATTACTGTGTTACAGGATTGATTCTGTGGGGACTTATAGACTACTATTGAGTGCAAAAGACAGGCAGAGTTATCACTCAGCCTTTAACTCCAGAAGATTTTATAGTATAGCTCATCAGAATTAAATTTCACTTACCATCCAAATGTAGCAGCTTGGTACAAGCTGTGTGCAAAGTTTATTCATTGCTTATTTACAACTAATTAATCATTCATATTTTTCTAGCATAATAAAAATATTTAGACAATTGCATAAATATACAGCATATCCTCCTAGATAGCAAAAGATATACCAACTCTAAGCTCTGTTTAGTTGTAAATCCATCTACAATAATCCATGAGCAATAAAAAATAATTCTATAAGTATGTCAAGAGCAAGAGGAAGACCCGAGAAACCATAGGGCCATTGGCAACGTGTAGGGGATGCACATGGGTGCACAAGCACCCCCTGAGATTGACCGCCATTAATGCTGCCTGCGGTGCCTGTGGGCGGTCGCCACTTGCCTCCCCTCCCTTGCCACCAATTCCACCAGCAGTATCTGCGGGTGGTTGCCAACTGCCAGTTGGCTCTCGCCACAACCCCCCTTGCTGTGGCGGCTGCCTGTGGGAACTCCCCGCTCACTGCCACCATGCCCCTGCTGCCGACACCACCAGTGGCACCTGCGGGCAGTTGCTGTACCCCCTGTCCCCAGCTTCAGGAGGCATGCAACGTTCATGCATAGGACCCTTTCAGAATACAAGAGTATTTAATGGCTTGTACTTCAATCTTCAAAAAGAGGGGCAGCTACCTGAT